GGGCTGCGGGGGGCGGGCCGATGGGGCGGGGAAGCGGGGGGAGGCCGGTTGGCTGGCCGCGGCTCTTCACCCGGCCGGTGGGGGGCGGAGGAAGCGCCCCCACCCCTTCTAACTCGGCCTCTCCATTCAAGTTCGCCGGCCCCGGCAGCCAGGATCCGGGGATGGCACCAGCCGCCCGCCAGGCTCTGCGCCCTCTTTCCAGCCACGGCTTAGAATTTAGGTCAAGGACGTCGGTAGCAAACCCAGACCCTAGCGCTGTTCTCTGCCAGCCCCCGACCCTCCAAGGATCGCGGGGGTTTCAGGATTGCAGAGACCCTCCCGCCCAAACACCAGCCACAAGTTTTTATTTTCCTGTCGCGCTGGATGTTCCCTCTGGCTCTCCTCCACCCCGGCACGTCTGCCGCCGTTCCCCGCCCTTCCCCGGCAGAGGTACGAATCCGTGCCCGGGAAAAGGTTATTTTGGAACTTTGAGAAACGGACGCTTTTGCAGTGGCGAGAAAGTGCCGGAGAAAAGGTTTCCGCGTTAATCATGTGATGTTTAAAAAAACATATCATAAAATGGGCTTATAGGTGTCAAGGTCAAATGAGTGGGGGTTCCAAAGAAAACTTTTGTGTCTGGTGAGAAATAGTTCAGGAGTGCTTCTGAGATGACTGGAAAGTGTGGTGGTTTCCGGAAACCCCTCTCCGATCGGTTCGTTCAATAGATGTTTTCATACTTCTCAAGTTATCCAGGCTTTCAGTATCGAGATGGTAAAAAGCGTTAAGATTGGAATAGTGCAAGACGCTAGGACAATGGTAGTAACATAGTAAGTAGCCAGTTTCACACCATCTGGCAGACTGCCTGCCCCTCCCGTTCATTTTACATCAGTGTGGTGGAGCACAGATCCGGGCACACAGTAGGTGCTTAATAAATGTTGGCACTGTAATCTAGTACTGAAAAGACGCCGTCTGTCGCCTTTGCCCTTGCGGCCTCGCTCACATCTCCACTACCCTCCCTCTAAACTGGCCAAATTCTGGATTCAATTTAGGGGGTACTTAAAACAGTAAGGATACAATTATACTTATTGTTTTAAATTATTACAGTAAACTGAGTTAATGTGGCATGAGGGGCAACATAAAATTGTGGTTCTTCAAATACCCAGATTAATGTTCAGCATGAATTGATTCTCAATTAACACATTTCTATTCATTTTCATAGGATTAGGAAACAATGGGATACACTCAACACCCAAAATGGTACCAAATTGTGGTAGGTCTTAGAAAAAGTGGAGTATTTGGAAAGTCCTGACACCAGCTATGGCCATGAGTGGCAAGACCCCCCAGTTCCCTAGGTTGCTCAGAGGATGGGTGGGTAAGGAATTGAATAGACAGATGTTATAAAAACCCTCTTTTCATTGCATATGTACATGAGTCATGCTTATTATCAATCATTACTTAAAATCATTTCTAGAAGCACGTTAAGGCCTCAAACTCCAAATCCAGACAGTTCCCAGATCCTCAAGCTGCTTTCTTAATCATCTGGGGTCCTGTGTGCTGAAGAGCCAGTTATTATTATGGTAATTGTTTATTATGATTATTCTCAATAACAAAATACAGACAACACAGCTAATTGGATTGTGTTGGGGATTTTTTTTTTTTTTTATACAATAGAATCACAAGCTTTCAGACTTAGAAATTCCTTTCCTGAGCCTACCCCTTTATCAGGTTGCCAATGAAGCCAAGTTTGCTGGGCTCCCCTCACCCCTGTCAGTCAAGCGGGCTCTGGCCTTCTGTCCAGTGCTCTTCTGCTCTACTGTCTGCATTTTTATTGTGTCCTTCACAAAGCCAGTGGGAAAAGACGCCTTTCTTCCATGGTGGAGAGATACAGATCTAACATTGAGGAAACCCGAGGAGGGTCCAGTGTCCCTGTTACGAAGCCACTGGCTGAGGGAAAACTAAATCTTAGATCCCCATTGCTACATTATTTACTTATTTCTTCTAATCTATATATAATGTGATTTATCCTACATGTTCCATCATTCCATGAATTTTTACAAATGCAGAATTGTGCAACCACTACCATAACAAGGTGTGAAATAGTTTTATCATTCAAAAAAAATGCAACCCCTTTGTGCTACATTGTTCATAAAGTTTTTATTGTCAAGTGTGACCCCTTGTGACCCTATAAACAACAGGTCTGAACTCTGTCCAATCCTGTGCCATCTTTATCATCCCCAACACATTTGAGTCCATTGCCACAGACACTGTATCAATCCATCTCATTGATACAGTGTCTGTGGCAAGGTCTTCCTCTCTCCCTCCTCTCCTTTGCAGACCCCACATCTTTCCAAGCATGTTTTTCCCCAAGGAATAACTTCTTCTAACAACATGTCCAAAATATGTGAGATGAAGCCTCGCCATCTTTGCCTCCAAGGAAAACTCTGGTTGCACTTTCTCCAAGACACAGCGGTTTGTTCTTTGGCAGGCCATTAGATATTCAGTACTCTTCCCCAACACTGCAACTCAAATGCATCAGTTCTTCTGTCATCCAGCTTGCACATGCGTAGCAGGTAACTGGAAAGACTGCAGCTTCAATTAAGTGTATCTTAGTCCCCAGACAGACATCCTTGCTCTTCAGGACTTTAGAGAATTCCCTAACAGCAGACTTTCCCAACGCTAAACATCTTCCAATCTCCTGACTGCTAGTACCAAGGATGTTGACTGTGGGTCCAAGCAAGATGAAATCATTGACAATTTCAATCTTTCTCAGTCTATCACGTTGCCTGTTGGCCCAGTGGTGAAAATTTTGGTTTTCTTAATGTTGAGATGTAATCCATTTTGAAGGCTGTAGTAGTCCTTGGTCCTCATTTTCAGCAAGCAAGGTTGTGTCATCTACATAATGCTGTTGATGAGCCCTCCTCCAATCCTGATGCCACACTCTTCTTAATAAAGCCCAGCTTCCAGCTTCTCTCAGGATTTGTTCAGCATACGGATTGAACAGGTACAGAAAGATGATACAGCCCTAATGCACACCTTTCCCAGTTTTAAACCATGCAGTGTTCCCTTGTTCATACTATTTTTTATTGTTATTATTATTCTTATTCATTAATACACAGTTCTTGTTTCGCTTACTAACCTAATGTAGCCTCTAGGTCGAGAATTTCAACAGCCCACTTGTCAGCAGCTATGCCACTGTCTGTCACTGCCTCCCAACAAGGGCTCCTTGGTACACACTCTCCTCCTGTTCCTCGCCCTCCCACCCCTCATTCCTTCTCTGTCTCTTTGTTCTAACTCCCCAGCTGTTTCTCCTTTGGACTTTAGTGTTCATCCTCCACTTTATCCTTTCTCCAGCAACACACCCTCCATAACTTACCTCCTCCGTAGGATGAATTTAAACAAATGCTGCTTCTTAAATCATGGGGTAGATGACTAAACGGTCAGCAGTTTGAATCCACCAACTGCTTGCTCTGTGGTACAAAAATGAAACAATCTTCTCTCATGTAAAGATTTCCTTCTTCAGAAACCCAGTAAAGGGTCACCATGATGAGTCGGACTCCTGACAGGAGTTGGTATAAGCTGATAAGAGGAAACTTGGTGATATAATGGTTAAGAGCCTGGCCACTACCAAAAGGGCAGCAGTTCAAACCTGACAGCAGTTCATCAAGAGAAAAATGTGGCAATCTGCTTCTTAAAAGGGTTCCATTCCTTGAATTCCTATGGGACAGTTGTACTCTGTCTTACAGAGTCACAATGAGACATAACCCGCTGAGGTTGTAGGTTTGTGTGAGTAGATAAACAGATGTTGATGGAGAGAGAGATTGTGGCTTTTAGGTGTCATTGAGTCAAATACAACTCACAGCGATCCTATGAATACACATCTGAACTCTGTCCTGCCCTGTACCATCCTCACAATCTCTGACACACTCCAGCCCACTGATCCAATCACTGTATCGATCCACCTGGTTGAGGGTCTTCCTCTCCTTTTCCATCCCTCCGCCTTTCCAAGCCTCATTTCTATCTCCAAGGTATAGCGCCTCCCTAGCAACATGCCCAACTATGTGAGACAAAGCTTCATTGTCTTTGCTTCCAAGGAGCACTCTGGCTGCACCTTCTCTAAGACATAGCTGTTATTTTGACAGTGCATAGGATATTCATTATTCTTCTCCAACACCTCAGTTCAAAGGCATC